TCCTCACAACCAGCACAATTCAATTTGACTTAGATGAATCCAATGATTTCAGTGTGACTGCACTAACGTCCCCAAAATAAAAACCAGAATGTGGTTCTGCAGAGGGAACTGGATAGCACCAAGTTCTCAACACATGCAAAGCCAAAGTATTAAATACACGAGTATTGAAGTTGAAGCACAGGATGATTGGTATGAAATCCTCGGTGCTAACTTGGTGTTCTTGATTTAAGCCTTTACAGCCAGCCAGGCAGAGCGCAGGATCAGAGATGCCAGAGCTCACCACTGCACTGGAGCAATTTGGAGCTTCCTAACAGCTTCTACCTCATTCTGGGCGTTTTGCAAAACCTCTCCCAATGACTAGGGCTGGATCAGCAGTACTGGATTCGGTCACTTGGGAACCTCAGGGATCTAAGGAATAGAAATTTGGCAAGCCATTTTACAGCCTGTACTAACCGGGCAACCTTCTCAGACAGCTAAAAAAATAACATTCCAGATTTATTTCTGATATACAGATATATTGATATATACCTACATACACACACCCTACTGAATTATATTTACATAAGGACCCCAAGGGATAAAAGGGGAAAATAGAATACTATCAAGGAAATGTGAAGGTGGACTACATACGACCCAAGCTCACCAAACCTTGAGAGGGACTTGAAGGACAGCTGGGCCACCCTCCCTTCAACACGCTTGAACCCTTTATGTCTAAAAACACATGAAAGGTCAGACCAGAAGAAACCTCGAGATCATAATGAAAACTTGTGTTGTAGGCTCCGTCATCCCATTAGCATGGACATGCAGAGAGCACCAAAAAATAACCTTGCCTCCTCAGAAAGTCCTGTTCTCTAACTACTTACACCAGTCCCTAACTGTGGCATGCTTTAAGGGTGTGCTTTCAAATAACAGAAATATATGTGCTCTTATCAAAAATCTCATTAAATAGTAAACAATTACTATTGATTCTACTAATACTGTCTGGAATCCAAATAATAGCAGCCACCCTGTTTCTATCTTTCTTTCTGTTATTACATTTTCTAACAATAAAATAGCTACTTTCTAACACTTCAAGACTGCATTTAAATTTAAAAAAAAACACTATAGAAAGCTAGAAAAAGGGGATTATCACAGTAACTTTGGTTTACCTTCTCCATGCCAGTTAAAATCTACAGATATTTGTATTCTGTCTTTGTAACCTGCATGAACAGTGTTGGACATGTCTATAATTCTGCGCATGAACAACATGAATAATCATATATACCTCTGGTCCCAGGTGTGCAGTAAAATCCAGTGTTAGAGGAAGTGCATTCAGACAGTTAACCATTATGAGCATTTTTAATTATCTTTAAATCAACAATTATTCCTATAAGGTCCTCCAAACATTTTTTTAATAAAAACCTAATTTACTACTCACAAATTAATTAGTATGAGATAAAATTAGTTGCATCTTTTTAAATGAGATTTTGCAACCAAGGTCAAGGGCAGTAAACATCTACTTCAAGTTCTAAAAGCCATTGCTTATGGATTATGAAGGATTCTCAAATTTTTTTGCCTGAAGGAAATGAAGAATCGCTTCCATTGTGTGATGGAAGAACAGACTTCAGGGAAATATGGCACTTCAGACTTCAGTGGGTAATCAAATGAAAACCACTCACAGATGATGTTTTTGAGAGGAGTTTGTTCAATTAAAGACAGACAAGTTTTTACACAAGCCTAATCATGGCGGTAAATTTTCAGAACCTACAGTACTGTTAGGAGATATATGTACCAGTGCTAGGAAATGGCTTGACTGCTTATATTCCTCAGCAACCTACAAACCAAATGGGGACCTCTAAGATTTTAGGACTAAGGCAAAGATAGTCATACCACTCCAATAGTGCCACCTGCTGCGTATTTTAAAAGTATACAGTGGTCTGCAGATCTAAGTAACTCAATTTAAAGAAGACTGAACGATTGACTGATTTAAACAGAAGTCATAATTTTGTGTGCATGTATGACAATATGAAAATTTAATTTTTTTTTTTATTAGTAATACCTAAACAGGCTAGAGGTACAAAGGAAGTTGTTGCACTATGGTATAAGAACAGAACCCACAGGTAATCCATTTCCAAGTTTACATCAGTGGCATAACAAGGATTACTTACATCCGCTCACTAGGCATCAAAACCACAATTAACCCTACGTACTTTGTGATACCGTGTAGATTAGACCTGCAACTCATTTCATGAATTGTATTCATCATTTGCAATCAATTGCAAATTATTCACAAGAGGTATGTCTGTGAGTGTGTGTGTATATGTATATTTTACACACACATGCACACGCCTTGATAGCAAAGTATATACACCCAAACACATATATACACACGAACACATATATACACACCTCTTGAGACTGAATCAAGAGGCCCTGTTCACAAGCTTTCCCTGAAAAGGAAAGAAACTGCAATGTATATGGGATTGGCTCAGCAAGACACAAGCTAATCCTGTTCCTGGTTCCAGCGCTCTGCTGTACCAGCTGGACTCATTCACTTCATTTCACTGGGCATCTGGTTTCTTTTCACGGTTTCTGGTTTTGCTGCTTACCTATGCAACTGTTTGGGAAGAGACTGCCTTGTATAATCCATTTGCGTAACTAAGAGTGACGGCTTTTCCATGATCCTGAAGGAATGGTATAGTACAAATAATTAATAATAATAATAGTTTCTGATCAGATACAAACTCATTATACTTTAAATGCTCTTCTAATGAGAAGTTAAGTGTACGTCTTTTAAGACAGCGTACATTTCATGTTCAAGGATGCCATCCTGGTAATTCCTTCTACAGCACATAGTCAGTCACGTTGCACAAGTCACTTTCACAGGAGGTCAATGAGTCAAATAGTGTGACTGGAATTTTAAAAAGGTTGGGTAACTTTTATGACCATTAATAATGTTTGTATTGAATGCCAGCTAAAACTGTAATGAGCTTAGTTAAATCTCCCGCCCCAATGTATAAACCAACTGCCTGAAGGTCCAAAGGAGGACTCCATGTACCAACAACTCGGAACACTGAGCAAACAAGGCAACTGAGGTACTCCTTTCTACAGAGCACTAGGTGTTTGTCACTACTGAAGGCTGAATGTCAAAGTAGATCTACCAAAGCCATGATACATCAGAACAACTCTAACAAGACACGTGCTTTTTCCAAGGTCAAGAGAGAAGCTAACTTGAAGAGTATCTACAATGTCTGACAAAGTATTGTGTTTACTGTTCTTTCCTGGCTAAGGCAGGAGAAGACCACAGTTGAGGTAGGCAACATGATCTGCAAAACACAAGCATATTGGGAAGGCAAAAGCAATTAAGAAGTGAATTACAGCAGACTTACACATGTGAGCCTGCTGAGCCTTACCAGAACTCTATGAGCTGCGTAACCGGAGTCCTGTCACCTGCGTATGCACAACTGCCAAAGGGATTCCCGAGATCTGCAGGATTTGAGCCCGATTCGGTAAATCATTTCTGATGCAAATCATCACATAATTTCTGCCAGTAACTGGAAAAATACAGCACTCCGGCATTCTTTCCACACAGTGCCCTTTCACAATATTTTTTATGCAATGTTTTTCACTGCAAGGAACCTAGCAGATGCACAATTATATTAAAACTACTGTTCAACTGCATTATTTTTTCACATACTAGTCTCTTGAGCCCTTTCAACAGTATCAGATGGACCTATTTCAGGGAGAGAAACTTGCAGTTCATAGTGCAGACATAGCCTCATACTTTATTTGATATGATCAAAAGCCATGTATTTTTAAAATTTTTGCCTCATTATTAGATAATACTATGACATGTATGATGAGTTTTAAACTGTGGCTTACCACGCATTTGAAGAGTTTGTTCAGCTCTCAGTAAGGAAATGATTATTTCTATAGTTTGTTTCATTTTACAGAAAGGCAGAAAACTGAATGAGGCAGACT